TGACCTTCTCCCTCTCTACAACTCCCTGACAGGAGGGTGTCCTGGGAACATGGGGACAAAGACTTCAGGGTTTGCCCAAAGCTGCCAGCACTGATTTCTGCCCCAAAAGCTCCTGCTGTTTCTCTTTGAGGAGGTTTAACCATTCCATGACTGCCCTGTCATTGTTTATTTAAAAAATAAAAATAAAAAAGCCCAACCCCCCCCAATCTTGGCTTTATTTAAAGAATAAAAGTTTTCACACTTTCTCAGACCAACTCAGTTTTAAACACATTTAACTGAGAACAAGAGCAAGTCACTTCACAAGTTACTTCTGTTAAGTTTAAAAATTGTGACAGTCCAATCATTTCATAGTAAGACTCATCTATTTGAGTCACCTAGAATTTCAAAACTAATATGGGAATGGTTCCATGCACTTTCTTCCTGGTTGTGATGTCCCAGGTTCCACTGACACAAACTCCGCAGGACTGGGACAAGATTAAAAAGAGCATTTCCAGGGCACTTCCCCCTGGGTTGAAACCCCACAGAAGGAGCTCCTTGACAAGTGTTCCTGTGGATACTGATCCATCTGGTCTCCTGATGGAGGGGACAATGGTTGCCCTGGCACCTGGATACAGCCAAGCCTGGGAGTGGCAGCAGGAGAGGGACAAGCTGTGGTTGATGTGGAGTCTCCTCGTGACACACACGGCAACTTGGGTATGGAAGCTCAGAAGTTCCTTTCAGAAATGCTTTGAACTGAATTCCCTTTGGGACCAAGAGGCTTTTAGCTGTCAGCCTGGCTAACCTATCTCAGGATCTTTAAGGCTCTGCTCCAGAACTTCCATGGTTCAGCCTGGAAAAGAGAAGGTTCTGGGGAGATCTTGGAGCCCTTCCAGTGCCTCGAGGAGCTCCAGGATAGCTGGAGAGGGACTTTGGACAAGAGCCTGGAATAACAGGACAAGGGGGAATGGCTTCCCACTGCCAGAGGGCAGGGTTAGATGGGATGTGGGGAAGGAATTCTTGGCTGTGAGGGTGGGGAGGCCCTGGCACAGGTTGCCCAGAGAAGCTGTGGCTGCCCCATCCCTGGAAGTGTCCAAGTCCAGGCTGAACAGCTCTTGGAGCAACCTGGGGCTAGTGGAAGGTGTCCCTGCCCATGGCAGGGGGTGGAATGAGTTGAGCTTTATTGTGCCTTCCAACCCAAACCACTGCATGATTCCATGACTGGGGTGGTACTGCTGGGCAGAGCACCTTTGGGACGGGAGCTGCTCCTGGACCATTTTTCAGGGAGGTTTTTTTTCTTTGAACCTCGCTCAACATTATGTGTCTACCCAACACTGGGGTTTTTCTCTTTCCCGGCTGTGTTTCCCTCCTTTAGACTGACCTTTCTCCAACTTCTAAGAAAGGTCTCAAAGGTTACCAAAGCCTAAAAAACCAGATTTAGCCAGCTCAGCTGGGAAGTTTGTGTTCCTTTAAATTCTTGTGCCTTTCCTAATCACTTAGAGGTTTTTTCCCCTAATACATCACTGCAACCTGACCCTGTGGAGCAGAGCTGTTCAGAGGGAGATGAAGGAAAGGCTCATGGAGACAGGAGTCATCTGAGGACAAGGCAGGACTCAGAGAACTCCCTCAGTGATGCTCTGCTGTTTGGGAGCAGGAGGTGTTGGCACGGGATGGTGTTGGCAGGCACAGGGAGCAGAGCCCTCAGTGCTTCCCTTTGGAATAGGAGCCAAGAGCACAGTGGTGTCCCTGGGATGAGAGACCATTGTACCCACAGGGGCTGCAGGACCTGTTCCCTCCCTGGGAGACAGAAGGCAGGAATCTGCAGGAGGAATGTCTCCTAAAATGCCATGGGGGGGTGTGTGAGGGGCAGCACAAACAGCAAAGTGAGACAACATTTACCTCACCAACAAGGACCGTGGGCAGCAGGGGAGGAGAGATTCTGCCTCTCTGCACCCTCAGGGGAGACCCCCCTGCAGAGCTGCCCCAGCCCTGAGGAACAACAGCACAAGGACGGGGAGCTGCTGGAGAGAGTCCAGAGGAGGCCATGGAGATGCTCCAAGGGCTGGAGCCCCTCTGCTCTGGAGCCAGGCTGGGAGAGCTGGGGGGGTTCACCTGGAGAAGAGAAGGCTCCAGGGAGAGCTGAGAGCCTCTTCCAGTGCCTAAAGGGGCTCCAGGAGAGCTGGAGAGGGACTGGGGACAAGGGATAGAGAGACAGGACAGAGAGACAGGACAAGGGGGAATGGCTCCACACTGCCAGAGGGCAGAGTTAGATGGGATACTGGGAAGAAATTCTTCCCTGTGAGGGTGGTGAGGCCCTGGCACAGGTTGTCCAGAGAAGCTGTGGCTGCCCCATCCCTGGAAGTGTCCAAGGTCAGGTTGGATGGGGCTTGGAGCAACCTGGGCTAGTGGAAGGTGTCCCTGCCCATGGCAGGGGGTGGAATCAGAGGAGCTTTAAGGTCCCTTCCAGCCCAAACCATCCTGGATTCTAAGATTCTATGAAATCTCATTCCTGGGTGTCACAGGTCTGACCTTGTGAAAAAACATTATGAAAATGACTTTCCTGCTCCCGTTTCTCATCTCTTGGAAAAATTCACATCCAGCTGGCAACAAACAGCAGCTCATCATTTTCCCTGGTACCAGAAGCACAACAAAGCTATTTGCCCGTCTCTTTTTGGAGATGAAATCCAACACTTTTCCTGAGAATACAGGAAAAAGGTTACTTTAATCTTGGCTGATGTGAAGTTCTTAGAGCTGTGACTTGAAGGTACTTGGAAAATTTCCCCAGGAATGGGAGAAGGTTGTTTCCAAAGACATTCCTGAGGAAGAAGACTCCCTTGTGCTGGGACATCAGATCAATGAGCTGTGCAGGGTTGTCTGGAGTTCAGCAATCAAGGGGTGTCCAATAACCCAAAAGGCAACAGGAAGGAGGGAAAAGAGCCACAAAATGACCCAAAGTAGCTGAAAAAAAAACAACCCACTGACAAATAAAACCCACCCAAAAAGCCATTTTTATGAATCTGTGGTTTATTTCTGCCATACCAAATGTGAAGGAGGGAAGATAAATTAATTCAAAACATGCCCTTTGCTAAAGACACCAGAAAGCTTGGACTGTTGCAGGAGGCTGGTCCCAGGGGGAGCAGCACCAGGGACCCTTCAGTCCCAGCCCCTGCCATGGGCAGGGACACCTTCCACTAGCCCAGGTTGCTCCAACCTGGCCTTGGACACTTCCAGGGATCCAGGGGCAGCCACAGCTTCTCTGGGCAACCTGTGCCAGGGCCTCACCACCCTCACAGGAAACAATTTCTTCCAAATATCTAACCTAAATTTCCCCTCTTTCCATTTTTACCCATTATTTCTTGTCCTATCACTATGTTATTTACCTCTAAAATCTCCTGTTTAAGCCATTCCTGCCTCTCTGCCAAGAGGTGCAGGGGAGGTGTGGGATAGAAAAGAGCAGTGGCAAATAACCCTGCTGCAGTGTGAGGGGAGAAGAAGACAGGCAATAACAGCAAATTGTGGCAAAATTCAATAAAAACTCTAGTCACACAAGAGAAAAATCTGTGTGAGACCAGGCCTTCCTGTAACGGGACAAATCTGATGCCTTCTTGGAAAGTGTTATCACTTCCAACCGTGGTTAGAAATGCTGCTGGCACTTTTTCCCCTTGTCTCAGGAGCAGCACTGCCAACTTGGAAGGGCCCTGGCATCGCCAGGCACTGCCCCCCAAACCTGAGACAGAGGGGCAGACTGTGGCAACTCAATTTGCCCCAGCCACGTGAACTGGGACCCAGAACCCCTCCGTGTGCCAGGCTGATCCCACAGCGTGGGTAGCAGGGGACGGGGGATTCCTCTGGGACCCCCCCTCCTGCAGAGCTGCCTCCAGCTCTGGGGAACAACAGCACAAGGACAGGGAGCTGCTGGAGCACATCCAGAGGGGAACACGGAGGTGCTCTGAGGGCTGGAGCCCCTCTGCTCTGGAGCCAGGCTGGGAGAGCTGGGGGGGTTCACCTGGAGAAGAGAAGGCTCCAGGGAGAGCTGAGAGCCCCTTCCAGGGCCTGAAGGGGCTCCAGGGGAGCTGGAGAGGGACTGGGGACAAGGGATGGAGGGACAGGACAAGGGGGAATGGCTTCACAGTGTAAGGGAGTAGGTTTAGATTAAATATTAGGAAGAAATTGTTCCCTGTGAGGTGGTGATGCCCTGGCACAGGTTGCCCAGAGAAGCTGTGGCTGCCCCATCCCTGGAAGTGTCCAAGACCAGGTTGTTACAACTTGGGCTAGTGGAAGGTGTCTCTGCCCATGGCAGGGGGTTGGAACGCGATGGAACTTCAAGATCCCTTTCCAACCCAGGCCATTCCACGAATCTCTAATATTGTGCCCACGTGTCATCCCTGAACTAAATACACACCATGTGCCACCCCCAAGCCACTTCCTAGATTGCTGCCGGGCGGGGTGTCCCGTCCCGTCCCGTCCCGATCCCGTCCCGGTCCCCTCAGGCCGCTCCCGGCCCTGCCGGGACTTCTTCCCGTCCGCTGCTCTCGCGAGACAACGCCGTCGGTGCGTCACGCGCCCCGCGCGCGCGCTCTGCGCTTCTCTCTCCTCCGTCCAGCCCGCCGCCGTATCCTTCCGCGCGCTCCCCCTCCCCCTTCTGGAGAGTTCTGCACGGCGGTGCCGCACGACAAATAGTTCCCCGCCGCTCCCCCTCCCCCCGTCCACACGCCCCTCTCCCAGCCCCTCCTCCTCCCGCCGGTGCCGCTCCGGCCTCCCCCTTCTGCCCCATCTCCCCCCTCCGCGCCGGTAACCGGCAGCGCGGCCCGTGGAGGGGGGGGGAAGCGGCGGCGGCGGAGTGATCCGCGGCAGGCGACGCGGAGGCAGCGCATAAAGCGGCGGTGGCGGAGGGAGAGGAGGAGCTGCGGCACCGCTGAGCCCGCGGCCGCCACCGCCCCGACACCGGCTCGGCCCCGGCCCCGCCGCCCCCGGGGGGCCCCGGTCCCCTCCCTCCCCTCCGCTCTCTCCGTCCGTCCGTCCCCCCGTCCCCTCCCCGTCCCCTCCCCGCGCCGCGCCGCCGCCACCTCCGCGCTGCTCCTCCTCCTCCCCCCTCCCCTCGCAAATAGTCCCGCGGGCCGCCCCCTCCCTCCGCCCGCGCCCCTCCTGCCGCCGCCTCGCGCACACAATGGCGCTGAAGAGAATCCACAAGGTAAGGGCCGCACGGCCCGGCCCGGCCCGGCCCCGCGCGGCCCCGCACCGCCCGCCTTACATAACCCCGCCGGGGCCCCGGGGCTGCCGCTCCGGGGGGGGGGTCGGGCCGGGCCGCCCCGCGCGGGGCTCGGGCCAGGCGGCAGCGCGGGGGCCGCTCCCGCTTTGTTCGAGGGGGGCCCGGCCCGGGCCCCTCCGGAGCAACGTGGCCCCCCGGGGCGGGGCGGGGGCCGCGAGGGGGCGCCGGTAGCGGGGCCGGGCCGGGCCGGGGGTGGTGCGGGCCCGGCGGCCGCTGCGGCCCCGCGGGGGCCCGGCCCGGCCCTTCCCCGCGCTGGAAGTTCCGCCGGGGCCCGTCCCAGCGCTCCGGATCGCGGCCCCGAGCACGGTAAAGCTGTCACACGGCGCTCTGGTTTAGCTCTTCTAATGGAGCTGTGCTACCGCCTGAGTCATCCCGCAGGCTCCGAGGGGAAGCTACAGCCTTGCCTTCCCCTCCCCGGAACCCTGCTCCGTGCCCTGGCCTTTTGGGAAAACGCTGCTGCCCAGCTCCCCTGCTGTCTTAAAAGTGTTTGCTTGATCATCAGTGTCTTTTACCAGGAAAAAAAAAATGCTCGAGGGTTATTGGAGTCCAATTGCATTTCTTTAGTGAATTTGTATCCTTTTCCCAGCGAAATGTGTAGCTGTCAGTTTGGAGTCTGTATACAAGGGTCAGGTGTAGAAAATACCTGTCCCGTGGTGTTTCTGCTCTCAGTGACTACCTAAATCTAATTTTTGTCTAGAACCAGCTGCCAACCCCCCAGCACCCACTTAAGCTCAGATTGTAGCCCTGTTTGGTTTTCTGTGTGCTGTCGGGTCTGTGTTAACATCTCTGCTTTGCTCGTAGGTTACCTTGGAGGCTTTGTGAAGCTTCATGATCAGGTTAAAGCTCAGGTGGAGAAGAAAATGGAAGAGAGCTTGAAGCCTTGCTTTTGCTCGTGGAATAGGTAGCACTTGGAAGGGGAGGATTTGGAGTGTGGTTTTAGGGTGTTGGATTTTCCAGCTGAGGGTCCGGGACTGAGTTACATAAGGAAGTTGTGCTCCAGCTGAGTGCTGCTTGTCTGCAGTGTTCTGTCCCTTACTTTAGGGATCCCCGGGGTCCTGTGAGGAGTGTTCCACAGTGTTTATGGGCTCACAGGTGTTTGGGAATACTTCTTCCTCCTCGGGACTGGGAAAATAGACCTGGGAAGTATGGCAGTGGATGCTGACCGGGGTAAATGTGGCTGGGGGCACACTGGGCTGTTGTGGGGACAGTGAATCCCCTGTCAGGTAACTCGGGAAAGCTACTTGGTTGTAGTTCAGTGCGAGCTGAGGGTCTGAGAGCACTTGTGTTTCCAGACTGGTTTGTGACAGGAGAGGAGCTGGATGTGTTGAGTCTTTGTTAACGTTGGGTGCTTGTGGACTGACTCTTCCTGCTGCTTTTCAAGGATTAAGAACCCCGAGGGATAATGAGGACTGTGTAGAGTTATGAGAGTCTTCAAAGTGACGAAGCAGTGCTGTGTGAGCTCTGCAAAGCACCAAGAGTTTCAGTGGAGTGAGTGTGGTGATGGCTGTGGAGGAGAGGGAGGTGATGGGGCTGGAGGCAGCATTTCCAGCAGAAAACCTGTGTGGGGGTAGATAAACTTGCCTGTTGTAGCAGCCCAGGTGCTTTAAAAGTTGGCTGGGAGTGGAGCTCCAGGCTGGAAGGAGCACTCTGAGTTGCTGTGGGTGTCTGGCCTTGACTGCTCCAGTAATCATGGCTGGTTGTTTACGCTCTGGCTATTTTAAACCCCGTGGAGAGCTCTCCTATCATCATCTCCGGGTTGTTCTGGGCTCTGGGAGTGTGTGGTGGCCATCCCTGTCAGGATAACGAGGGGACAGACAGCTTCTGACCTTTGCTATTGCAGCTTGTGGCAAGAGCAGGAGCCTGCAGAGTGTGGATCGAGTAGGAATAATCCCTGTGGAGTCGAGCACAGAGACGGGATGGGAGGGAAAACTGCTGCTCTGGCTTTTTTTGAGGGTGGTATCAGTCATGATATATCAGTGTGCAGGGCTTGGTCTGGCCATTGGACCTTGCTCTTGGCAGTTTTGGTTTTATACTGAACCACAAAGGCCTTTCTGTGACGCTTTTTCCAAAATTTTTGTGTCCTCGGATAACGTAGGGATGAGAACTTGGAAAGGAGGAGAAAATCCCGAGAGTAAACCTTTGATACAGTGTTACCTGAAATGGCCTCTTGCATGTTGAGCTGCTCTGGGCTGGAAGAGGGGGCCAGAACAAGGAGTTTACACCGGGTGAACAGCATTGTTGCTGGTGTGTGAGGCAGCAGAGGAACCTGCAGGGTCTGCTCCAGCCTGTCCCTGTGGCACAGTTGCTCTTGGGATTGTCCAGAGGCTCGTGCTGGGATAACGTTTGTGCATGGAGCAGCAGCTGTTCTCTGAGCAGATGCTCCAAAACAGCTCAGCCTGGGTGAGACCTGCTCTCAGATTGCTGCCTGTGTTACTCACTGCAGTATTTTGGGCAGTGGGGCTGCAGATTCTTGTTTGGGTGCCTTTACTGGCTCACAGGCCTGAAAGTTGAAATCCTTTCTTGTAGACATGTTTGGGGTGTAAGCAGGGCTGCCAGGCAGAGTCCCTGGGATAACAGTGAAGTACAGCAATGTAATTGTTGTTTGTACATAACAATTAGCTGTCTTATCATGGGTAAATTCATAAGAAATGCAAAGTGAAGCAATCCAGGGGCAGGATGGGAGGGATACAGGAGGGCCAGAGTGAATGGCTTCCATTTTAAGGTTTAAGCCGAAGCACTTTGGATTCAGCCACGTCCCCATCTGTGTTGCTTATCTGTAGGGAACGCAATACCTATAACTGGATAACTAGGGCAGTGTTTGGAGTTCTTTGAATGGGAGAGCAAGGGAAAGGTTAGCTCATTGTCTTCCCTGGGCTCCCCTGTGTGATCGGCGGGTGAGGGGGAAGGGAAGGCAAGCAGCTGTGCCTGAGCCCTGCTCAAGTAAAGCATTTTCTGTAGCAGAGGAGTGGTGGATTACTGTTGCTTGTACTGTAGAGGCCCAAAAACCAAGTAATGCTTCACAGAACTAAACTCTGACTTCCATTAGTTCCTGCTCAGCTGTGGAGGAGGGTGGTGGTAGTTGCTGTAGTCCTGGAGTCCAGAGCTGCCCGACTTCTGGGGATGCTTAGGCATCACTTCTGCCAAAATGAGCCCTGCCCGTGGGTGGGATGTGAGGTCAGTGGTGCAGTTGGCGTGCTGGGTTGTAGTTGTGCTACCTGTGCTGAGCAAACTCGGTGTTATTTCAGTGCTCCCAGTTCTGTACAGCAGCCAGTGGGAGCAACTGGGTCCTTCCGTTGGGCCTCGCTGTGTGTGTGGAGCTGCCAGCACAGCCCATCTGTGTTGGAGAGCTTGTGTACAGGGAAGGCTGGGAGGCTTCTGTTAGCTGGAGAGGTGTTTTGATACTCAGACTCTACCCCAGGAGGAAGTTATACATTGCTTTGGTCTTCTTCCTGTGCAGGCTTTGAAAAAAATAAAGAAGGAAAGGTGACAGTTACATCAGTGTGTTTATAACACTTACCTTGGTTATTGCTGTGATCGTGAGTCTTTTCATGCTGCTCAGTTGCCTTCTGACTTCTCCAGTCTTGGAAGGAGTCAAAGTTGGAGGATCTGAGCCACTGCAAGCATTGCAAAAGGAGTTTCTGTCAAAAGGGAAGGATTAAAATGCTGCTGTTAATCAGGATAGCGGCATTAGAATGGCAGATGCTCGGGAATCGTAGTCTGCAGGCAGGAGAGCCCCTATGGATGTGGCAGGGAATTGGTGGCCTGACCTTGATGCACACGTGAGAGCACTGCCTGGTGCTGCTGGGTGAGAGGAGCTGAGGGAAGTGCCAGGTGGAGCCAGGCTCTGGCACCTGGCAGGGAGGTGCTGCTGGTCCAGGGAAGGTGCAGAGGCTGTTCCCACCCTCCTGCCCCGTGGGTCCTGCTCAGGGACTGGCACTGCCCTCTGTGGTCCTGAGGTGAGGCTGGGTGTGATCGATTTGACTTTGGCCCTGATTCCCTATTGCTTGGCTCTGCTCTGTTGGGAGCTGGGAACAATTCACGGGGAAGTGGCTGCGAGTTCCTTTTTGGTTACATAAGTCAGGATTTTGTGACATCACCCTACACTGCCTGTTGCTGAAGGGTTCGGGGGCTTGGGGCAAGTAGACTTGCTAAAGGCAGATGGAAAGCTTGTTTCACTCACAGCAGCAACCTGAGGCAGAAATTAGGTTTATAATCAAGCTAATGATGCGATCTGTGAGTAAAATAGAATGTGAAAGCAGCTCAAACTGGAGCAGGGTGGAAAGCCCATGGAGTCCAAGCTAAAAGGACTTTGGATAATCTAGAGGGATACATCTAGTGTGTTGGAGTGGATTTAAGGAGCTCTGCTATGTACCAAATAAAATTGCTGGAGCTGACTGCTAAAGGGTGCTGACTTTTTACTCACCTGATTGGCTTCTTGAGGTTGCCAGTTAGGTTGGTTATTCTTACTGAAGGCTGTATTAGCATTAACTTAATCCTTAAAACTAGTCTTCTGGCCAGAGCAGGTTTTACCAGGAATGTGTTAGACTGGGGAGGGATTTGTTGTCTAGAGGAATAAATTTGAACTTCTCTAACAAATGTCTTTGGAGCTTACAATTATAACTTGAAAGATGTGCAGGGTTAAACTTTGATTAGAGACCTAAACCACTTGGGTTTGGTAGTTCTTTGAAAGCTTCTTGTGCAGTTTGTGAACTCCTGGATTGAGGTGTGTTTTCAAGGCAGTGTACAAGCTCCTGGGAACTGTAGGAGGGGAGGGATGGAGGGTAGTGTGGGGCTGAGCAAGGCTGGTGGCACTGGTTTGCCTGTGAGCCCCGAGGCCTCGCTGGCAGCTGATGCCTTTCATGACTCGGGAAGCACAGCTGGGGGGGTCTGTGGCATAAACACACTCCATCTCCCTTAAAATGCTTTCATGGAACCCCTGAGTAGGATTTGGTTTGTTGGGAACTTTGGAGCACATTTAAATCTCATTTTGGAGCCTAAACATCAGTTTCTTGTGTGACTTTTATAGTTTTTAGGGTATGTCCTTCATGGATTTAGCTGTAGTAGTTGCATTCAACTTGGCCTTTGGGCAGGACACCTTGAACCTTGCTTTGTGCTGTGCTTCCACTTCCTCATTTTTGTTGAGGGACTCATTAATAGCTGTGAGATGGGTCAGGTTAATGGTAGGATCGACAGCAGTGGGCCCAGCCCTGGGGGTGTTTTGCTGTAGGGGAGGTGGCAGAAACTTTAAATTCTGTAGGATGCCTTCAGCTGGAAACCCAGCTCGGGGTGAGGCAGCCCCCGGGAGCTGAGTAACTCAAATTGGAATTTGATCTAAAGGCTGCTTGAGCCTTCACTTGTAAGCTCCTAAAGCAAAACCTTCTTTGTGTGCTTAAGGACCAGAAACTGTCTGGAGTGAGAACTGGCTTCAGATTTTGTTTTAATATCAGTGTGGTCAAGATCAGGCTTGATCACTGACCAGCCAGACTTCCTGGATCACAGGGGAATAGAACAGTTTGGGATCAGATCCGTGGAAGTTTGTAGATGGTACCAGACTGTAACTGAACCCACCACGTGCTACGAGCTCCAGTTTTATGGGAACTCTGGAGTCATTTGTTCCGAGTTACACAAACCAGCTGGTTCTCAGTCTCCCTCAGCAACAACATCTGGAAGCAAAGGCCTTGCTGGGTCGAGTGTTGTGCTTTTGCAGTGCCTTGGGAACTGCTCAGGAGCCTGCAAAAGGCAAAGTAACCTCTGGGACAGGTTTGGCTCTGCAGCAGCCATGGGTGCTCCTCTGTGTGTGCCTGGATAGATGCAGCTCCATTCCTGTCCTTAAACTTGGCTCTGCAGCTCTGACCAGGGAGTAGTGGGAGTCTTCGAAGCAGCTGGAAGGGAATGGTGTGTTAAAGGGATTATCCATGCCCTGCCAGGAAATCCATTTTGCCTCTCTGGTGGGCAGAGGCAGCTGGTGCCTGCACTCCAGAGGGGTCTTAAACTTCCTCATTGCTCTCCAAGCTGTTGTTCTACAAAATATGGGAGGTTTTGTGTTGCAGGGGCTTGAAATGGGAGTTGGTGCTAAACTTTTCTAGTCACAAGGAGCTTACACATTGCTTTTTACATGGGCCTTTTAATCTGTGATGTTTCACTCTGTGAATTTGTAGAGCAGAACCTGAAATGCCACCTTGTCACTGAGACAAGTGGTACAAGTGCTTGTTGTAAGTCATGGCTTTCCACTGAGATAATACCCAGGGCACCAAAGTATTCCTTTCTAGCTGGAACTAGAGATGTAGAAAATGAAATAGTATTTTGATGAGAAATGGAGCTGCTACTACCTGAACTTCACTGCTGCCTCTGTTGGAGAGTTACCTTGTGGTCCCACTGTTGAATCCAGTGTGGTGAAGCCCTTGGTGCATTTGGGCAGCAGGATACAGGGGGAATGTCAGGGCAGCTTTATGTGTATTCTGCTAACTGGTGGAGTGTGTGCCCAAGCTCCTGTTTGTAACCATTTCCCCTGTATAGTAGGGAAGCTGCATATTGTGTGTTCACAAATATAATCCATGGTGGACTGTGGTCCTACATGAAGAATGTGGATTCTTACAGCTGTGCCTTCCTAGTTTAGTGTATGCTTTGTACTGATGTATGAAACAGGATGAGAAGTGGCAAGGGATATTTTTTAATGAGTGTGTTTGTGATTTTGAATACCATAGCATTAAATTGTCTTTTCCAGAAAATTAGAGTCCAGTAGCATTTGGAAGTGGACTGTGTTCTATACAACTTTAGGAAGAGTAGGTGTATTCCTGTTTTTAAGTTTTCATGTGGAGACTCCCTTCATTGGCTGGACTGACCCCGAGGAAGGTGTGTGTAGTGTCTGCACCTTCCTGTGCTGCCCTGGTGGTGCAGGGTGTCTCCTGGCTTGCTGCTGCTGGAGCAACTCCAAAGGGCTTTCAGAGATGGCACATGGAGCACTGGAGATGTTCTCTCCACCTTCAGGATGGAGGAGGCTCTTGAGCAGGTGCTGTGTGTGCAGTGCCTGTTCCTGCCCCAGTCTGTTCTGAACCACAAAGTGGAAGAAGCTCAGCAGGAGCTCCACAAAAGCTCCCATAGACTGGTGAGTCAGGAGATTTCCAGCTGGGCTCTTCAGCAGTTGGGAGCTTCTGAGAGCTGAACCAAACTCGTGTGTGTGTCAGGGAATGTGAAGCTTTGGATCTGCACTGCATCCAGAGGGGGAAACCCAGAGATTTACCTGTTTGATGTATGGCAGCATTCTGGGGTTGTAACTGGAGAGGGTTTGCTTAGTGATGGCCTCCCAGTTCCTGGGAAGTAGAAGCTGGAATTCCCAGAGATCATCTGTTCAAGAGCTTAATCACTCACTGCCTGTAAATAACAAAAGGCCTTTAAGTGACAAACCTCTTCCACTCCTGCTATCAGCTGGTCTTAAACGTTGTCCTTAAATGTTTTGTCTGCCAAAAGCCTGGTATGGAAACTTCACTGTGGACTGTTGCTGGGAGGTGAAAAGCTGAACGAACAATGGACCACCGGGGGACAGCATGGAAGTGTTTCCTGAGCACTAGATTTAGTTGTAATCCTTGTCTGGTGTGTGTTCAGCTTTCTAGACTGAGCTAGGACAGAAAAAAGCTGATATGTGTGGGCCTATCATGCAAAGCAGGTCAGTGGCTGAGCCAGAAATGGGGCAGGTAAAGTTTGTCTTTAAAGTTTTAACTCTATTTTCACTTCCCAGTAAACATCCACTTCCTGAGAAAATGGCTAATGTGAGTTGCTGGTAACAGTAATTCTCTGAACTGTGCTAAAATGTTGCTTCAAATTGAAGCTTGGTATAATTCAGGAGTACTGTGAATTACTCAGCCCACTCAGACTCATAATGGGATTTTTTTCAGAGGAAAATTTGACTGACACAGCCACTGAAAAGTGAGGGTTTCCATTCAGGTCTGTAGGTAGGGAAGGCCATGTGTTTTATTCCATTTCCCCCTGCCCTGTGGTCAGTGATGTGTTTGTGTGGAGGCAAACCAGCCCCAGGTTACTGGAGCTGTGTGTGCTGCAGGCAGGCTGTGGAGGTGATAAACTGGATCACTGTAGCTGGAGCAGTCTGGGAACTGTTACAATAGAGGGGATAAAATAAGGCTGATACAGAGAGTTGTTGGATTGAGGCCACCTTATCTCCCTGTGACCTGGGGACAGTGGAGGATATAATGCCTCAGTAATGCTGGGACAGTGCAGGCAAACCCAGCAGACCCTGTGACATGGTGAGATTGCTGTGACTCTGGGTCTGGGCAGCCTGGACAGGTCACTGAGGCAGGTGCCAAACGTGCCTCCTGTGTTGAAGATGCAGCTTTACTTTCCAAAATCCTGGCTGTTAGTTTTGTGGCGCTGCCAGAGTTGCCACCAGCAGCTTTTTAGCAATAACATGGTTGTTTTTGAAACGAAACGAACTGAACTCTTCCTGTTTTGTAGGAGTTGAACGATCTGGCACGTGATCCTCCAGCACAGTGTTCAGCAGGGCCTGTTGGGGATGACAGTAAGTATCCTGCTCTCAGCAGACACCTGCACTCTGCCACTTCTTTCCTTCTAAAACAGGATGTCCAGCACTTCAGCAAGGAGAACCCTTCTGTTTCTTCTGGTTAGAGTACTAGATACTGCTCCCCATCCTGATATGAAATTTGTTGCTCTTCTGTATCCCTTTAACACCTTCCTTGTGTATCACTGATGCTGCTCCCACTCTGTTAATTGGACAACTCGATGCATATCTTAAATTACACCTTTTGAGTTAACTGTTCTGTATCCCTTTAACACCTTCCTTGTGTATCACTGATGCTGCTCCCACTCTGTTAATTGGACAACTCGATGCATATCTTAAATTACACCTTTTGAGTTAACTGTTCTGGAATTCTGGATGGAGTTAGGAAACCTCAGTAGCTCTGTGGCCAAACCAGCAAGCACCTGCCCACAGCTTTCTGCACTTGGATATCTAAACTGTACATGGTGCAGTCATGTGTTCTTGTAGGACTAAAACAATCTACTCCCAGGACTCCTGCTAGTACAGCAAGGTCAGGGTTAGCTCTGTTTTACACAGCAGTTAGGTGTAACACTGCCTTTTTTTTTTTTTTGAAGAGGGTTATATGTAGACCTTGAGGTTGAGAGGTTAAAATGTGGTTGGAAGGAAAATGTTGACAAATTACAACTTGAATCATGAAGTAATGTTGGTTGGGTTTGGTTTGGTTTTTTGAATTTATAGGCAGGATTTCAAGCAATTTCACTCGGTTTGGAATCCTTCTTGTGGCTTTCTCAATAAGCAAAATCAGAATGTCTAAACTCTGCTAACCTGTGGCCTGACTGGGACATGGGTGCTTAGGTATGAGGGAGGAGGTGCAGGAGAAGCATCCTTAAATCATACACTTCATCAGGAACCATAGTGACAGTAAAAGGGGGAATAACTTCAGACTGAGAGTAAGTTTAGGTTGGATATTGGGAAGAAATTCTTCCCTGTGAGGGTGGTGAGGCCCTGGCACAGGTTGCCCAGAGAAGCTGTGGCTGCCCCATCCCTGGGAGTGTCCAAGACCAGGTTGGATGGGGCTTGAAGCAACCTGGGCTAGTGGAAGGTGCCCCTGCCCATGGCAGGGGGTGCAAAAATACAATCCTTGTGGTCCCTTCCAACCCAGACCATTCTGACTCTGTGTTTGTAACCTGTGCCCAGATCAGTGTGCCCTGCCAGCTCCTGGTAAGGGACAGCCTCAGACAATCTCTTTGGCTTCCACAGCTGGTGTTTGCTGTGCCAGGCTGCTCTCCCGAGGTGTGATTTGCAGTTGTTCTGTCCTTTTGAAGCTCGAGGAGGTGTGTTAAGCAGGAAAAAAGCAGCTCTTTAAAATCCTACTCTGATTTTTTTTATCTAATGTTGATTTATAGTAAGAAGATCTACTGTCATCTTGTGCCTGTATTTTGGCCCAGGGAGGGGAGGACAAGATACATCGTGTGACTTGACTTCAGGCTGTTTATGTGGCTGGTTCTTACCTTAGTTGTAAGTGGTATTCCCCAGTCTGCTTTGATTAGAATCATGGAATATCCTGAGTTGGAAGGGACCCACAGGGATCATCCAGTCCAACTCCTGGCCCTGCCCAGGACACCCCAACAATCCCACCCTGTCCCTGAGAGTGTTGTCCAAATGCTCCTTGAGCTCTGGCAGCCTTGGGGCCGTGCCCACTGCCCTGGGGAGCCTGGTCAGTGCCCAACCACCCTCTGGGGGAAGAACCTTTTCCTGAGATCCAACCTAAACCTCCCCTGACACAGCTCCAGGCCATTATTAGCTGTGAATAAGGCACCTTAACTGATGCCCTGTACATTATGGTGGTTTTCTGTGAGAGGCCTTTAACCTGCAGCAGTTCTGCAGGTTGTACCATCTTCTTAATTTTCACCAGAAAGTCTAAAATTATACTCGACTATTTTTTTAATAGCACCATCAAACTCTTGTCATAGCTTAGGTGAGCAAGATCAGTAGGATGTTTGCAGTGAGACAAGAACACTTGCAAATCCAGCTTTTCAATGTGGTCTCTCACTGATACTGTCAGCAAAGCTTCCAAGCTCCTAAGAGAGGGGATTTTTAAGTAGGGAAACCCTCCAGCTGTTTGCTGAGAGCTCTGAGCTCAGGTATCCTTTCTGAAAGGAAAAAATTAGCCACCGAGATCTTTCTGAATAATTTCTGAACAATTCAGCAGTTCTGAAGTGTATAGAAACTTCCACATTCCTACAGAAATGTAGGGCTAGATTAAAAAAAACCCACTTGAAACCTGAGAATGAAAATACTGAAATTAGTGGGGGTGTTACTGTTCAGCAGAACTGTCAAACAAGTGGAAGCTCAGCTTGGTTTTGAGAGCATTTAGCAGTAGGGTCAAGCTTTTAGTGACTTCACAACTTAATTCTGCTTTCCAAATAGTATTTCAAAGAGGTTTGTAGTTTCATGGAAAAGAAATGACTAAGATGGAGAGCCAGGCTGAGGCTTTTATTCCCTTAAATTAGCGAGTGCGATTTGTGCCCCGATAAACTGCTCTGTGGTTTCCAGAGCCTTATCAAAGGTGATGACGATTGTCTGGCAGAGAAGGTGGAAAGTTACTGCTGAGCACAGAAAGCTTTAAATTACTAAAAGTTCTTCTTGTGCCACCTTTCTGAAGGACCTCTGATGAAAGACTTTAGTTGTTGAGAGCAACAGTTTGGGGGTGTGTAAGTGGATAGCAGTGGCAGCAGCAGCAAAGTGCTTTCTCCCAAATCCCTGTGCCCCAGGTGTGCCTCGGCTGCCTTGTCAGAGTGACATTTCCTGATGTTCAGGACATGCTGTACTTGCAAAGTGCTCTCCTGTGGCTACTTCAGCTGATACAAACTGTCCCCAGCTATAAGTGTCTCATCCCTGTAGTTCATAAACTTTGGGAAGAGCTCTTCCTGCCTTGTAAACTGTAGGAATGGGATTTTCTTGGCAATGTAGTTTTAGCCCTTTTCCACCCACCTCTGGCCTGTGTTTTGGAAATGTGCTTGGGACTGGATGACATTGGTGTACTTCCAGTGGCTTAGCTTCCAGACATGTACCTGTGCTTACCTACTGAAAGTCAGCAGCCCCCTTACTTTGTAAATACCTTTTTATGGGTGATTTCAAAGGAAAGAATCGATTGGAATAAGCTCTGCATGTCAAATCCATCTTGTCGTTCATCAGACTTGTCCTGGATATTGTGAGGATCTAAAGCTTAGGTTAAACAAGCTCTTTGCTTGAGTCTGGGGTTGGAGCTTTCAAAAAGTTAAGACTCACTGTGGAAATGTTTTTCTTTCTGGTTTCTTGTTGGGCTTAAGACAATAGATGGTTATTTGAACTTCTCTTTTCAGTGGTGCCTGTGTGCACTCCAGTGAATCTCATCAGCATCTTACTGGTGCCTGTGAGATTTTTGGTGGTTTTGCTGTGACTGGCTACAATCTTCCCTATGGGGTTCCTGCTTCCCCTTTGTCCTCTGCTCCAGGTTTCTCCTTATCACCTGCAGCTGGACAGGCACTTCCTGGGAAGCTGGCTGAACCCCTTGAAAGGGGGGGAATGCCACATGGACATGTGATCTGCTGTCTCTGTTTCCTGGCTCTGCATTGAATGTAGTTTCTCGAAGGCTGCTGCATCCAAGCTCCTGAGAGAGGAGATATTTAAGAAGAGAAATGGGCTGAGGGCTCTAAGCTCAGGTATCCTTTCTAAAAGGAAAAAAATCAGCTGCCAAGATCTTTCTGAATCATTTCTGAGCTGTTCACCAGTGCTGAACTATATAGAAACTTCCACATTCCTATAGAAATGTAAGACTAGATTAAAACAAACCTGCTCCAACCCAACACTCATTTCCTCTGTCCTTGCAGGGCTGTTCCCACTTTGCCTTTTTCCTTCTTCCTTGTATGACATCATTCCCAGCTGTAATGCCTGTACCATGTGTAATTAAAAACTGCTCATGCTAGATTAGAACAGGTAGTACCACTCCTAACTTCTGGCCCAGGTAGTCTTGACAGCTGTAGACACCACACATCTTGTGTCTGGAAGGCTTCCCTAGCAACAGCTGGAGTCACCTCCAGCTTCCCAGTCTGAAGGTGCCATGTGGCTGACATCCATGCTGAGGGGAGCTTCCATGGTCCTATTTCCCAAATAATTTGTGCTCCTTGCCCAGGCTTTGGAGATGCAGGAACTCCAAGAACTCCCTAACGTGCCTCATACAGATTATCAACTTGGATTGTTTTCCTTTCCAGCATGACAGCATTCTTCACGAGTCCTCTGTATGACCAGATTTATGTTCTCTTGGACAGATGCATATGAGTGAGGTTTAACTTTAGTCCACTTAACCTAAAATGTGTCCTAGCACACTCTGGTCCTGAGTCTGGAGCAGACTGTTGCTCCTGCATTCTCTTAAGACATTGCTTTCTGCTGCTTTAATGAAATCTTGAGGCCTCTGTGGAGAGACTCAAAAGTTCAGTGAGGATAGCAGTGGCTTAAATTACCTCTGTACATGTGGTGTACACAGAGCTGGGGCTTGTTCTCTGTGTGACCAGGGCTCTGAGAGGAGAGCAGGTATGAGCTCATCGTGTACCTTTTGTTCTCACAGGGCAATCGTGGAAACTTGGTTCAGCTGCTTCATTAGAAACTGCAGAGCTTAAACTCACAGTTCTGAGTCTGAAAAGTTGCCTAGGACTGTCTGGATTTCTATTGTCACAGGATTTTTGCAGGGCATATGTGTGGTACCACAGCAATCCTGGGCTGTGGAGCATTGAGTACTTTGCCCTGTGTCTGTTTAATTCCTTGGCTCCCTTCCCTGCAGCCTTTCAGAAGGCTTTGTTTTGAAAATAGACTTTTCTGTGCTGCTTTGTCTGGAAGAAAGTAAGATCATTACTTGAGCTTCTCCAAACTGAAGTAAATCTCTCTCTCTTTCAGTGTTCCATTGGCAAGCTACAATAATGGGACCAGTAAGTATGAGAGAATTGATGCTCGTGGCTTTTTATGATGGGTTGTCTTGTAATAACTCCTCAAGCTGCAATGATTCTTTCTCATTAACAGAACGACAGTCCCTATCAAGGTGGAGTATTTTTCTTGACAATTCACTTCCCAACAGATTATCCCTTCAAACCACCTAAGGTGAGTGGCTTCTACCATAAATCCATCCGTTACCATGTGGTCTGATGTATATATTTGTGAGCCTACACTGAAAATTTTCCTTCTTCTGCAGGTTGCATTTACAACAAGAATCTATCATCCAAATATTAACAGTAATGGCAGCATTTGTCTTGATATTCTACGGTCACAGTGGTCCCCAGCACTAACTATTTCAAAAGGTACCTCCGATGCTCATTTTAATGTTACTCTGCTGAAATGAAGTACTGATTTGGGATGTAAAAAACGCTGCATTCCTGCTGGCATCAACCATTTCTGTGGTCACTGCTTCAGTTGTGTGACCCTGCATGGAGCTGGCAGCCAATTCCCGAGTGTAGGATGCTCGGGACATCCATCTTCCCTGGGGCACAGGGACACTCCTCAGCTTTGCCAGTGGATCAGATAAGTCCTACTGCACTGAGTACACACTTCTGCCACCTCACCTCAGAGTCTGAACACTGACACTAGGCTTAATTTTATATATTTTTAGTTAATGACAATGAAAGACTTTAATGTTCAGAATACACACCAAGTAAAATATGTAAGGGAGCAGCTGTAGTTTTTAAGAAGTTATAAACTTGTCTAATTGTTTGTCATCTTAAAAGACCCTTTTTCAAGGAAACATCATAACTCCGTGTTGGCAGCTTTTAAACAAAGCTTTCAATGACATGCACTGCTAAAGCATGTTATAAAACTTAACTAGCTTGCACTATCTTGACTTTTTTTAGCTAAAAATATCTTGGACCCTGTGAACTGAGTTAGTGGTTAGCTTGGAATGTATCCTTTGCCTGGTAAAGCAGAATTCATATTTATTATAAATACGAGGCTTTAAATGCTTGAAAGAAGACCCAGGTTGGAATTGATTTTTCTGGCTAATGAAACTGTAGATTTATAAACTGTAGATCAAGTTTGTAGGTCTAGCCATGGCTATTTAGGAATATTTTGAATCTACCCTGTGCATGGACCATGTCTCGACTCCTCTGTTTTGTAGCTTCACACTGTCCTTGTGCTCAAACGCTGCAGTTGCCACATTGATGTCATTATCCTTCACACCATGTCTCTGCTCTGAGGCTTTCCTGTGCCCTCTCCTTCTCCCCAACTCCCTGTGATGTTTCTGGGCAGTTTTTGATTTAGGCAGGTGGTTTCTGGTACATCCCTTGGACATCATCATTGTCTCTCTTTCCCTGAACCCACAGAAGTTCCCACCTTCTCTGTCCAGCTAAAGGCATTTGTAGAAACAGTTGGAAAGGCAAAACAGTATCTCCTTGTCTCTTGTCAGAAGTGAATTTGCTCGTGCACGAGGCTGAAAGTCTTTGCTGTGAGTTGAAAGAACTGAAGAAATGGTGTCAGTAAAGGGAAAATGATTGTCAGGTTGCTGTAATTTCCTTACAAGTGCTCTCAGTCAGTACTGGCTGCTCCTGGAAGCACCAAGTTAGCACCAAGCACTGACATCTGTTCTGGTTTGATTTAATTGCTGTATAACTGGGCAGAATGTGTGTTGTTTTAGGGAGTCTAAAGTGGCCATATGGGCAGTGGGGTGATAGACAGCATGCTTGAAAATACTGGGAGATAGACTGGAATTGGGACAGTTGGGAAAAGATGGGGCAAGAATTCAAGAGACTGGTTAAGGGCAGCAGTGGACTGAAAATACATCCTAATGTTAATTTTGCTGCCCAAATACATTTGCAGTATGCTTTAACATCTCCTGTTTTCTGCTTTGGACTCCTTTTTTTTTTCTTACCCTTTTATGCTGTATCCTCCTGGCTCAGCTGGAGTTCTGTGGGATCAGGGTGGCTGTTCTGTGCCACTGTGTCCCTTCCACTGCCCCCTGAGTGCCCTGCTGGGGTCAGGGGGCTCTGTAGTGCTGATCAGTTCTCACTCACTGAAGAGGAGTTCACTCAGTACCCAAACTCTGCTGCACATGCACAGCATCCATACAGCTCTAACCTGGCAGAAAACCTTGTTCCCAGTTCCCTTGGGGTACATTTATTGAAGGAATTAAAACAGCAAAGCAAATTCTTATAGGTGACTTTATAGAAACTGGGAATACTTTCCTCAGAGTCACAGAAAGCAGAGCTCAGCTTCAGAAGCAAAGAGCTGATGGTCCCATCTTGAACAAGTGTAAAGAAATTGCACAAAGGCAGCTTGAGTCTTTTAGGGCTGAAATCTTGTGTTCAGTCAGGTTAGAATGTGTCATGACAGACTTTGGGGCTGTTTCTGCTCTCTAGTGACTGATCAGCCTTATCAAAGAATGGATGTGTTCCTAGCAGGAAAAGCTGTTGGATTAGGTAGTTTAGAGTGAATAACAAGACTTAAGACATTCAGCAATAAGCTCACATCCCTTCCAAAGCAGCAATTTAGTATTTGTGTTGTAGATTTCTTAGAGTATTTTCTAAATTGTGCCACCTTTTAACTGGGATGCTACTGGGAGCAAGCTGTTTGAATTTAAAATCTGTAAGCAGATAACTGGAGCACAGCTGAAAAAAAAAAAGTGCTTTCTACTAATTGAGAAATCTGGAAGGACTAGAAACAGTCCTTCTAGGAAAAAGCTTATCGTGCACAGCTTCCTCCTGAGGCAGCTGGGAGGCAGCACTGTCAGCAGCTTGGATGGGCTTGGTGTTATGTTGCAGTTAATGTGTGGTACATGAACGTGTTTTACACCTTAACCTCCAAGGAGGGAGGGGAAGGGGTGTGCAGTGACTTCCTTTGGATTTGAAGTGCCACTTTTTGGTGAAAAGGCAGTGATAAATCTTGTCAGTGGTAGTTAATCATCTCAGTTTGCTGGTGAAGGGTCTTGGCCCCTCACACTCTGGAGCCCTCTGTAAGCAACTTGATAAAGTGATTGTGGCTATGACAGGTGACTGGCATTTTGGGGTTTTGTTCTGTCTCTCCTAGAATTGTTAAAACAGCTTCTGAAGACTTGGGGGAACAACAGTGTCTCAGTAGAACAGCTAGTTTGCTTGTATTAGTAATTCTTTACTCAGTGTTCCTTAAAGAATACATATTGGAGAATAAATCATCTCAAAATACAGTCTTAACCACACCTTGGTGGGCAATTTGAACTACAAGGCTTAAGTAGAATGTGTAGGCTTAAATTAAAAACATTATCTCCGAGTCTGTACAAATAGGAATCCCTGTTGCCTGAAACAGGAGAATGAAGTATTTTAACATGATTACAGCTGTTCCCAGCCACTTTTGGGGGGGGAAACCCACACTTTCTCTTAAACTTGGCAAGGGGATGTGCAAGAGTTGATCATGAAGTACTTCTGCAGTGAAAGTCAGGCAGCTCACTCTGTCCTGTCCCACTTCTCCCCATGTGTTGTAACTAGTGACTCATGGAGCCTGTTTTGAGTGTGCTGGAGGGGCAGTGAGGAACTTCAGCCTCAGTCATGGCAGAGTTCAGCTCTGCTGTCCAAACTTCCGAACCCAGTGTGCTGTGGATTTTCTGTGCTGCTGCTCTTCAAGAATTGCTTAACTGAGACTTACTGTGTGGGATTTCCCAAGTACCCAGCGACCTAAATGAACTGGACCTTCACAGTGCAGTCTTAAAAATTGGGAACCTGGTTTCTGATCGTCTTCTTGGCGCTTTAATTTGCCTGTTGTAGCACTTACCCACATAACTGGGTGGCTTTGTCACAGAGCATGGGTGTGACATGATGTGCTGAGTTGGGGTTGTAAGGGAAATGCCCATTTTTGCTTTTCAACTCTCAAAACTGTAGTTTAACCACTTGTGCAGCTTCCCAGATGTTGCTCCAAGGAAGTTTGTGCTAGGAGGAGTGTGGTTGGCAGGTTGAGGGATGTGATCCTTCCCCTCTGCTTGGCACTGGTGAGCACATATCCAGTGCTGGGCTCCCCAGAACAAGGAGGTCATGGATGTACTGGAGAGAGCCCAGTGAAGGGCCATGAATGCCATGGAGGGGCTGGAGCATTTCCCATTATGAGGCAGGCTGGGAGTTGGGACTGTTCAGCCTGGAAGAGAAGGCTTGGGGGAGTCTTATCAGTGTCTGTAAATACTTGAAGGGAGGGTACAGAGGTGACAGAACCAGACTGTTCTCAGTGGTGCCCAGTGACAGGGCACGAACTGAAGCACAGGAGGGTCCCTCTGAACAGCAGGAAACACCTTTTTGTGTTTTTTTTTTTTTACTGTGAGAATGCTGAGCACCAGCACAGGTTGCCTTGGGAGGTTGTGGGATCTCCTGCCTTTTGAGATACTCAAAAACCACCTGGACACAGTCATGGCCAACCTGCCTTAGGTGGCCCTGCTTGAGCCAGGGGGCTGGACAAAATGATCCCCAGAGATCCTTTTCAATCTCAACCAGTCTGTGGTACACTGGGCAACACTTAACTTTTCTTCTTTTGTCACCAGAAATTGTTGAACTGACTTAGCAGGAGTTCAAGTTGCTTTGAAGCCAGAAGTTTAAACTGCTCAGATTTAAAGGTACACTTCCTGTAGGGCTGGGGAAGAGGCTGGAGGAGTTGGAAATGGGACTGTGGTTAAGAAATAGGTTTGAACTGGAGCAGAGTCTGAAGCTACTTTAATTTTATTTGGGTGCATCTTGCCTGTTCACAGCCAGGAGCCATTCATTTGAAGCTGTTGGACCAGTGGTGTTTTCAGCATGTTTAAAGTTAAAAGCTTAATGTTTGTCAGTGCTGATAAAACTCTGACAACTGTGTGCCTCAAAAGTTTCAAGAGTCTGGGGCCTGAAACTCCAAAGCAGTGATTGTATAGGAGAATGCTCCTTCCAGGAATCAGGTTGCTTCCTGATTTTGAGGAATAGAGGTGGAAGTAGCAGTGGGCCTTGATGTGGAGGCTGCCAGGCATCAGTGAAGGAGCTGGTGAGAGAAGCAGGACAGCTGGATGAACCCCCCAACACGGAATTCAGAATTCCTCAGCAGTGTTGTGTCCAAGGCTCATATTTCTGCTGGCAGAGGTGTTTCACAATCAATTAAACCTGAGCCGACAAACTGTTAGTTTCATATTCAGAGACTTTGCTGGATCAGGAGGCACAGCACTGTCTCCTGGTCTCCAGGAGGTGACAAATGGCTTTCCACAGAAAGACCTTATGGGCACAGTGTTCATCACTCCCCTGGGACAGCAGGTGGGGTGGGCTGCTGCCATTGCTGGGAACTGCTGATGTCCAGGAATCAATGCTTCCCTGTGTTATCCAACTATTCCATGTCAGTGCATGACCTTTTTGATTATAAGGTGATCCTGAGACTCCTGTGTGACTCCAGCCAAGACAGAGAGCTGAGTGTCATCCTGCTGTCCTGACAGTCTGGCATGCAGAGCAACCATCTCAGCACTTTCTTGGTACTCTGCACCAACAAAGGGTTTGTTAAATAATCTCTGTGCTTGCTTAGAGATGGACCCTTGCTCCTGGGTGGATTCTAAATTGGCTCCTCTTTGGAGAGCAGTAACTGCACCAAGCAGCTGTTGGATCAGAACACACCAGTCGTCTCTTCTGGATAGCTTCATTATCTTGGAAAAATTGGTGCTTTTTATCTCCCTGCTGTGATTCAGCTGGAGATTCCATTGCTCCTCAGTTGCTTTTCCTTACCCTGAAGTGTCCCATGGATGAGTGCTTTACTGGAGCAGGTTTGTTTGGAATTCCAGCTAGACTTAAACAGCAGTATCTGTAGTGGCTGGTACTCTGTCAGGGATGGCTGGAGTGGTGGATATTAGACCAGTCAGGCTTTGCAGACAAAGTGAATCATCTGGGGGTTGTGTTTGGAAGATGAGGAAGTGGAGATCAGCTGCTTTTAAGAGTCTCTTCACCTCTGAGTTCCAGGAACTTTAACATGCCTCTTAAATTTGGATGAGCCAATAGATGTTCCAGTAGGGCTTTAAATTGTGTTCCACACTACTCATTTGGCTACTGCTGGAAGGACCTGTGGAGAGCTGTTGTCATGGGTTGTCCTGAGCTGCTTCCTGACACAGGAACCTCAACCACGGAATTTACAAGTGGAATTTGCATCTTACCCACCCCTTCAGTCTGAGGTGGGGCAGAAGCAGGAAGGTGAAGTTGCTCATTGGGGTGGGTGAGCTGGCCTGGGAGGTGTGAGAGCACAGCAGCTGCTGAGGAGGGGAGGTGGATCATGCTGTGCTGAACTGTACCTGATCCTGCTGACAAGCTGTCCATGGCAGGATTTTCTGCCTGGAGAGATTGTGCTTGAACTTCAGAGTGTTTTGTGCTTTGTGAAGGCAAGTCTTGCAGTGGGAACTTGGATGCCAGTTGTGCTCTGTTACACTGTAGACTGTATTCTGCATGTTACTCAAGCAGTCTAATATTAACTCTTCAGTGATCATTCTGCCTGATGAAGGTGCTCTCACTGCTCTGTGGGGAAGCTAAGCCCATTTTTAGAACCACTTTGTTGTCAGCCTGTTTGCTTGATGAGTTTGGTTCTCCCAGTCCCTTGGTGTTGAGAAGTACTTGGTCTGTGCTAGTTCCTGGCAGCAGGAACCACACTGAAGAGTAGGTTGTATTTGTTGTCTGCAGAGATAGATAGGGAGCACAGCTGAAAGGTTGGAGGTCAGTAGGCTGCCTGGTGAGTGAAATAAAACAAAGCAAACCCAATTTTGGAGTGAAAGGGAGCTTTAAACTGATATTGATTCTGAGTTGCTTAATGTTCTGCTGCAGACTGGGCAGCTCTGACTGCTAGGAGTGAAGAGATGAGAAATAACTCTGTACAGAGTTGTTTCAAGGGAGGAACCCTTTGAATCAATGGCAAGTAAAGTTTATTTTGCAGTTACTGACAAAAATCCAGACTTGAATTCAAGGAGTGCACACTTGTGGTACATCCCTTCCAGTGGGAGACTCCAAGGGATGTTGTCAAGCTGATAATGCTTTGCCTATGGTCATGCAGGATGTGTAGGACAAGGTGTAAAAATGTCACTTACCTGCCTTGTGTAGTTATTCAGCTTGATTCTGTGGTTACAGAACTTTTTGGGAACTTTTTTATTGTCTCCTACCAATAGAGTAGTCATTTGAGGAGTAAATGTCAAGGCTTTGCTGTGGAGCTCATTGCTGTAATACTTGATTGCAGTGGAGGGTGGTCTGGTGAGTCTCTAATTCCATAGTGTTGGTGTAATTAGTTACTCTGATACACAACTGACATATTTGATTGCTTCCTCTTTACCCTTGCACTTGAAACTTGGAGAAGGTGCCTTTTCCAAGGGGTTTTTCCATAGTGGTCTGGAGGCTCCTTATGTTGGTTGGTCTAAAAGGTGTGTATGTGCAATGTTCTAGTGGAAAACCTCAAGAGAAACTTCCTGAATTGATATGGACAGATAGCTGGGTTCAGCAGGATATTAAAATTACACTAGTTTAGATAACTGGTTAAAAATGCTCTTCTTGCTGGGGCTGTACAGATAAAAATGGAATGATGTGAAATCACCAGCAAGAACAAGTGTAATGAGAATAGTTTGGATTAATGAAGACTTAAAAAAATTAAACAAAGCAGATGAATGTGGCAGTGCAGCTTGAAGCCAAATGGTTGTGTCCATTTTTATTCAGTGTTTTTTGAGTGATGCTGAAAAGTGAACTGCTGAGTGTTGGGAAAAGGGGTGTTAGGGTGGGCTGAGAGCACTGGCCAGGCCTGCAGTGTGGTTCTGAGCCACTGTGTTCGGAAAAGTCCTTGGTTTTTAAAGGCTGTGGTAAGATAAAACTTGAGAGAATAGTTACAATAGTTGAGCAGAAAACTTGGGTTGGATTTCCTGCTGTTTCTGGTGAAGGCAGGGGACAGGTTTGAGGTGTCTCACTCATCCTACAGCTGAAGAAACTCAAGTGATCAGGACAGTGGAGTCTGACAGACAGAAAGGAATGAGCTACAGGAGAATTGCTGGACAAACAGCTGTTTTGAGGCTAAACTGACTGGGAGCAGCTGGATGTGTCAAAGAGTTCCCATTACTGAACACTTTACTCAGTGTATGTGGGGGAAAGGAGCTGGTGCTGGAGCTGTACTACAGGTGCTAAATGTGCTCTGTCCCTTGCTGAGGGACAGCACTTCAGGACTAGTTGCTTCTACATGCCTCCCTCACATTCTGAAGCTGTGTTCTGAGAGGGAGCTCAATAAATAGCCCAAATGCCAGTTATGGTAGAGGATAATTAAGCCCTTAACTCTCTCATAGGTGTACAGTAGAAAATTGGGAAAAGGAGGAAGAGGTTTATCTTTATTCCGAACCAGAAATATGTTCACTTAAATCAAGACCACTTTATTACCACACTTTCCCTAAATGCTTTAAACTTGGAATTGAGAATTGATTAGTGAAGGGTCTACAGAAACGGGGGGGAAACTGAACTAAGTGGTTTTCTGTGTTCTTGGTGCTCACACCACCAAGCAGCACACTCAGTTCAGACGTAGGGAAGCTTTCACTTTTGTCCCACTTGGAAAAAAACCTCTTCTCCATTTCCAATGAATATCACACCTGTTAACCTCTTCTCTCTGGAGGGTGGGGAGGCCCTGGCACAGGTTGCCCAGAGAAGCTGTGGCTGCCCCAGTCCTGGAAGTGTCCAAGGCCAGGTTGGATGGGGCTTGGAGCAACCTGGAATAGTGGAAGGTGTCCCTGCCCATGGCAGGGGGTGGAACGAGCTGAGCTTTAAGGTCCTTTCTAACCAAACCATTCTATGATCTGTTTTGTGGCCTGTGTTTTAACCTGTCTTAACTCCTTTGTTGTTTTTATGGGGCTGTGTGCTGTTTCCTTTCATTTTTCATGGATAGCTGCCTCGTGCAAGTGATGGAAATTGGAGCAGATTTGTGTTTTAGTGTCTTCAGACTCCTCACTCTTGTCATCTCCAACTTGCTCGGAGGCTGCACTGTGACAACTCCGCGTCGTTGCAATTGGTGAAGGGACATATGGAGTGGCACTGTTTGATCCAAACAGGCGGAGAGAAGGGAATGTTTGGCATTTCTGGGAGGGGGGCAAGATGTCCCTGCCGTGCCTGGTGTAGTGTTGTCCCAATATGCTTTGCTTGTAACTCCCTGCCTTCTCCTCTCCTCTCCTCTCTGGTGTGAATGTAGGAATGTCCGTGTGCTATTTGTGGCTTTGCAGCAGTCTCCTGGCTCCTTGTATGGATGAGGTTGTCACTCAGCTGAGCAGGATGTGGCCTCTGGGGTATAGGCACTATATATTTATAGTGAAACACTCAAGTTCTAGGGCTCTGGGGTTGGGAGCAGTGCAGGGAGCTGGGTGTTCTTGGGTCATTTTGAATATTACGCTACACTTAATCCATCTCAATCTTCCTTATGCTTGGAAAATAATTGGGTAAAGCCTCTTAGTTCTCTGCAAGACTGGTGTATTTTTAAACAGATCTTCAAGGCCAGGTTGGATGGGACTTGGAGCAACCTGGTCTAGTGGAAGGTGTCCCTGCCCATGGCAGGGGGTTGGAATGAGATGAGTTTTAAAGTCCCTTCCAACCCAAACCATTCTGTGATTCTTAAGTAGCTGTGAACAGCCCTTTCTTAATTCATCTCATCTGGACTTGTCTGCTGTTTGACTTTTGATTAGTGCTGCTCCAGGTCATTTAACAGTGAGGTGTCTGGTGTAGGGAAAAGCTGAATTTCAGGTGCAAAAGCAGGGAAGTCTTCCCAGAATGCTCTCACATGTGGGTTCAGAGAGACATGGCTGCTGCTGGACACACCTATCCAGGAGGGTATTCCTTGTGACATTGTGGTCAGGTGAAGTTGTGTAGTTCACTGGTAAGGAATTCTGTTCAGAATCACTCAGCTGATGTACCTGGGATTACTGCTCCTTGGGAATTTTAAATAAATGCTGCTGATGCTACTGGCTGGAGGGGAAGGAAGGGTATGGGCTGACCTGTGCAGGTGTCCTCAGCTGCACTGAAACTAATTGTGTCTCTTTTGTCTCTCCAGTACTTTTGTCCATCTGTTCTCTGTTGTGTGATCCCAATCCAGATGATCCTTTAGTGCCTGAGATTGCACGGATCTACAAAACAGATAGAGAAAAGTAAGTATGGAAGCCAAAAAACCGTGAAATATGACAGGGCAGAATCCACACTTACACAGTAAAGGGGAACTGAAAGGCCCCACTTCCTGGAAAAGAGTGGAAAAAAAGGCAAATCAAAGCTCTAACTGTGGTCTTTTTAGGGGTGTTTTTGTTTTTCACCGAGATCTGCGATGCCACTCTCTGAGCTGCTTTAATCCCACATAGCCAGCAGAGGGAGAGCAAGTTACTCCAACGGGAGAATATTCCATGGCAGCTCTGGGTCTGGAATCATACAAAGAAATAACAAAAACTCCCTGTTTCTCTTTCACTTGTCAGCACAAGGGAAGAACAAGTGGTGTAGAGGTTGGGGTAGGAAGACTCCCAAGCTTCTGTACAGAGAAGCTTTAGTGCTAATGAGCACTTTAACAGCTTAATGACCATTGTAAACACTTCCTACCTCTCTGTTCCTTCCCAGATCTGGTCAGGGAAGGGAAAATGATCCACAAATTTGCTTTGTCTACTGCATGCTTGAGGAGCAGTGTTAGAGAAGTTCATGCATCCTGTTTTTGAGAGCTACAGGAGCAGCAGCACCTGTTTGGAGATGCAGTGAACACTGACTGTCTGCACTTGAAGTATGCAGGACTCCTCTTTTTTTGTTTGTTTGTTTGTTTGTTTTTTTCCCAAAAATAAGGTAACAAATTTTTGGGCTTAACCATAAGGACTTGCTGCTTGAGTAGTCTCTGAGCAGTGATGGGAAGGAGAGAGTTAGGAGTGGATTTTCAGATTCTTTAAGCTAAAGAATATTGTCTATGGACTAAATTCCAACACAAACCAACTTGGTGTGCATAACTATAGGAAAATTCTGGCTGTAAGTATCTTATTCTTTTAATTCTGTAGAATAAGAACAACTGGTTGTCAGAGAGAAGCTTTTATCAGTGCAGTTAATCATAACTGCTTTGTTTTACACAAGTATCCTGAGCTTCCTCTGGCTGTGAAGGGTATTTGGGTGCAAAAACCACAGGGAGGTTGGGAATTGTTGTGCCTTCAGAACAAAAACAATTCTGATGAACAAATCACTGTGTCCTGACTGTCATCAAAAAATGACAGTCAAATATGTAGCAAGGAACAGGGCTGCTGGGGTTGGGCAGATGAGTCAATGGCAGGTATTGGGTTTAACTTAGAAGGGAGGAGATGGCAGGGACACACGAATCTATTCCAGAATGTCCAAATGAAACCTTGCAGTAAGTTTTCCCAGGGGCTAGGGGAGGCACAGGTAAAGCCTTCCTGAGAATCCTTTCCCCTCAGCCCTTTCCTTGCTCTGTTTTATGGCTCCAGTCACAAAGTTCTCATACTCCTGTTGTAAACATGACCAGGTGTTTCTTTTCCATGAAGCACCCTGGGCTTTCTTGTTCCCCCTGTTTGCTTAGTGTTTACTTTTGCTCTTAAATGTTACAAATTGTTGATAGTGTACTGTAGAGAGTGTGAGTTCATGGCATGTGTAGACTAGACTGCTGGAGCTGGAATACTGTGCAGATGCCACGTTAAGTAAATCCTCTTTTTATACATACAGGTACAACAGAATAGCTCGGGAATGGACTCAGAAGTATGCGATGTAATTAAAGAAATTATTGGATAACCTCTACAAATAAAGATAGGGGAACTCTGAAAGAGAAAGTCCTTTTGATTTCCATTTGACTGCTTTCTATGAGCCCACGCCTCATCTTCCCCTGTGCACATGTTTACCTGATACAGCAGTGCTGCGTGTTGTACATACTTGGAACAACAAACTAGAAATACTGTATTTCCCCGTACCAACATTGACTCCTAGCAGAGAAGTGTGTGTGTGAAAAGCTGGTTCTTCAGTCATAACTTTGTGAGCCTAAAAGCATTCCTTGCTGAGTTAAAATTGGGTAATCAGATGGGAATGGGAAGAGTCCTGGTGGTTCTCAGATATTTTTTTTTTTAGGGACAGTGTTGCTGATCCATGAAGGATTTTAAGTGGAATCCTTTTAAACTCATAACAGTTATGAAAAGCAAGGTGAAGAACTTGAAACTGTTTCTGTATTCATTTTATTCTGAAGGACCTACACCTTAGGTAAATGTTATGACCAATGAGAAACTGTACCCACATCCTGTGTTTAAGGTCTAAGTTTAACCGGTCACCATTTAAATGGATTGGAGCTATTAGTGCATCAAGTGATGTTGATTTGTTTCAACTCTCTCCCTCCCTTCATACTTTTTTTGGTTTGTATGTGGTTTCTCAGTTAATACCTAGCTAATAGCTCTTATTTTTTCTTAAGTTTTTTAACTGCTTAGGTCTTTCTGGATGTAAGGGTAAAAAAAAAAAAATCCATTTGACAGAAAACTTGTGTGTATTTAAAGACCCAACTGCTCCCCTGGAGCTTGTACGTTCAAGAATGATTAATCTGTGTAATAAACTGATTACTACAGTCATTACATATAACTTTGTGTGAATAGGCTTTTAATTTTCAGAGCAGTTTGTTACAGGCTTAAACTAACGGTGGATTTCTCTTAAAAAAAACAAAAACAAACCAACTTTTGGGTTGAAGTCGTGAAGCAGTTTGGTTTGCATCACACAAGGCACCTGAAGAGGCAAACAGGAGCTTGAGCACTTAGATGAAATCAGGATGTGTAGTGTGCCAGGAACTTGACTGTTAAACCAAATAAGCAGTTTACTAAATGCGAATCAGAGTGACATTTTACAAAGCCTGATGGTATTACTCCCACTTGCATGGGACCTAACACAATGCATATGTACTGTAGGTAAGTGAAACCTTATGTAACTAAAAAAAAAAAATGGATGTAAAAGGGTAAAAAAATGAAAAAAAAACAACCTACCAAACACATCAGCACAAACTTTCATAAAATGTAGCTTTTACATAATTACTTTGCACTAAACATTTGCAAATGTTCATACAGTTTTAAATTGTACTTGTATGTGTCTTTTTTTTTTTTTTTTTTTTTTTTTTTTGGAACAAAGTCTTCACTTGAATCTAGTGAAAAAAAAAAAATGTAGTTTGAAACTTTTCTTTGTATACAAGTGTATTTGCCAGCATCGTTGGTGTGACAGTAGGTGAGTCTGCAAGTTTATCTCCTCTTAGTAGAATTGTAACCCAAGCCATCGGGCAGGAGAGGCTGGAGCCGCTGGCTCTCCGGCCACAGGGTCTGTCCCAGCCATTCCCAAATGCATCTTGACACTCTTGCACAAACGAGGAATAAATGTCCACTGCTTTTGGTCTAAACCTGTTCCGCTTGTCTCATCTCTCGGTGTGTCCGCAGCGCTGCAGGAGGTGTGGCCCTCGTGCAGGGAGCTGTGTCCCTCTCCAGAGGCACCAGGAACGCTGCTCTCCTGGCCTGGGGACAGAGTGGCTTCGCTGGAAAAGGCATGGAGCACGTGTGTCCTGGCTGAGGGGTGACAGCTACAGGGGAGGGGGAGAGATTGGTGTGCAGGGCTGTGAGCCTCCCTCAACTCTTGGCACTTATCCACAGGGTGTTGGTGTCTGGAATGCTGGGAAGGCAGGGTGTGACTCTGGATAACACCTGTGGCATTGTCAAACCTGGAGTGCAAGCTGGTGGCTGGGTTTGTGTCAGCCTGGCCTTTACTGACCTGTTGTAACGTGCAGGCTGTGCTCCTGCTGGACCCTCAGCAAACACCTCAGTGGGGGAGTTTCACAGTTTATCACAGAATATTCTCAGTTGGAAGGGACCCCCAAGGATCACTGAGTCCAACTCTTAAGTGAATGGCCCATGCAGGGATGAAACCTTGTCATTATTAGCACCATGCTCTGACCAACTGAGCTACTCTTAGGGTTGCCCTCCCTTGTTTTTCCATGGGGTCACAGAAAGACAAGGGAGGAGCTTTGGGGGGATTCTCTTTACCTGCTTTGCAATGGAGCCTCCCAAGAATGATTTTTTGAGACAGATCTGGTTGGCTTTGGGCATTGGAAGTTGCTGAAAAAGATCAGAGGCCTGTATGGGGGGAGAGAGAAAGGAGCAGTGACAACTGAGAGAGCTGAGGGGGATGGTTTCCCTTTCTGGTGGAGCAGAAGTCACATCCACGAGGTGACAGGACATTAATAAGCCATACATGCATTGAAATAGTCCTGAGTCTGTAACAGCTGCAGCTTGGATGATCCATTAACACATCTGCTCCTGTTGGGATGAGTCTCACTTGCAGTGAAGTGCTCAGGCAGTTCAGACTTTTTTTGCTGTTGGCACGACCACAGTTGTGTAGTAAAAGCAAGTCTGGTGATGTTTGAGCAGGGAGGATGTGCTCTGTCCCTTGTGTGGGATGGCCACACGTTTGGGAGGGTTGTACTGTGAACTAGATGAAGGAGCCTTTTTTTTTTTCCTAGCATTTAACTGAAAACCTGACCCAGCTTAGCTATTTTTGGGACTAGAAACCTGCTCCTTTGAAGCTGTACATTGTCTATGTTCCAGTGTCAAACAGCACAGGAGGCCACGGGCTCTGGATGTTGCCTTTCTAGGAACATTGAGCTTGTCATGTCATCAACCTCTTGCATCCCTGTCCAGTTTTTAAACTTTCATTTAGTATTTTAAGTTGCCTGTTTCCCTTTGCATGGCTTTCTTTGTGCTGCGGATTCTATAGATTGTTCATGGGATTCCCTTTTTTCTTTACATGTGCTAAGGAAATGTGTTTTATTAAAAAGTACTGAGCTGCTTAGATCCCCCCAGCTCTGGCAGCAGAGCTGGAACACTGTGCCTGGATACATCCTTGAGCTCATCAGTGCCCATCCACTGCATGGAGTGACCCAGAGGAGGAACATGATCCCATGTATTTTGGAACCACTCCTAGTTCAGTGCTGAGTTGGCTTAAAACATTCCCATGGCTCAAAGCCCAACCTCCCTGGACCTGCAGATTGGGATGGAGCTGATCCTGGGCAGTACTGGAGACCTGATTACTGTGCTTGAAACACCAGCTTGTCCTTCAGCAGGACAAGCAGGGAGGATGTGCATTTCTGTGCATTCTGCTGCATTTCTGTCACAGCTTTTTGGCAAGGCAAGAGGGGTTTTTTTTTAAAAAATATTTTTAGTTATTATCATGCTTTCCCAATACTTCCAAGTAAGCTGCATCCTGAAATGTCCTTGGACTCTTCTGTTCAGTCTGCATCCATCAACTGATGTAGCAAAACCAGCAGGGCTGAGTTGGAAATGATCTTGTGTCCCTGGTGTGCTCAGCAAACTGTTCCCTGTCCTGGGCCTGTGACTTTCCTGGTGGTTTTCCTGGCTGCAGACAGCAATGCCTGGCTGCATTTTTGGATGGTCTCAGTCATCTTCAGCAGCAAAACAGCTCTAGACCTGTTCTTGTTCCCAGCTCTGCTGTACAGGAGAAGATCAGGAGCCTAAAGGAAGGATAATGGGAAACTTTTCCCAGTTAAAGGTGGATTTTCTTTGTGCACTGAGCAGCAAATGCTGGGGAGAGCAAGGCAGGAGACCTGGGCATGTGGGAGGTGCAGAAGAAAGCTGCTCCAATGAGTTAAAATTATAAAACCAGGACAACAAACCACTTCTGAATGTGCTCAGTGCTCCCACTCCAGGTGGAGGAGCCCTTGGGTCAGGCTCCAGGCATGTCCAGGCAGAGCTTGGAAGTCACCTCCTGGGACAATAAAAGCCCGAAGGTGTGTCTGAGTGGAAGGAAGGCTGTCCTTGATAAATACAGAACCTTGGAGCAATCTTCTCATCCACTCAGCACTGGGGAAGCCTCCCTCCCTCTCCTGCAGGTAGCTGGAATGGAGCTTCATTCCCTGCTGCCTTCCATTCCTGGGCTCTTTGGGGAGGCTTGGAGCAAGTCCGTGCTCAGAGCTGGAAATCTCAGTGGGTTGGGTTTGGCAGAAGCAGTTTCCAACAGGGAAGGCACAGGGACAAGAGCACTGAGGGTGCCTGATGGAAGGTTAAAAGCAGGACAAATCCTGCTCCCTAGCTTTTGGGAAGCATGGAGGCCAGCCCCTGTGTGAGTGACCCTGTGCTCAGAGACTCCAGGAGGGATCCCTGCAGCTGCCCCTGCCCTCCCCTGGAAGTGTGTGTGACTAGATCTGTGCTAACACTGCCTGTACTCTTGTATCGTGTTGCAATTTGATCATTAAATAATTCCCTCAAAATCACTGTGGCTTAATGGCTTTTTTTTCTTTTTAACCCATTTATTTTGGCTCGTGCTGCTTCCTTTCCTCTTGTGGCTGCTCTCTCCCTTCTCCCTGATGCTCCAGTCCTGTGCTGTCCCTCTCTCAACCATCTCCAGTCACCTTCATCTTGGCTCTTTTAGCTCCCTACAAAGCCTGGCTTGCTCTGGCCACGGGCAGGGCTTTGTGGGTGACCTGGAGTGGCCTTGGTGGTCAATGTGCCTGCATCTTCATGCAGAAATATGTATGCTCTCACCAAACCCACACTGTCCCCTTCCTTCTTGGAACTCGTGACTTAAAAGCAGGTTTGCTGGTGCTTTGATTTCCACATGAGCTGCTTCCAGCACCTCAGTCCCTGATCCAGAGGGTTCACTGCTGTGTGAATCTGGGATCAGGCTCTGGAGCGAGAGCACAAGGTGTTTGTGGTGCTGGAGAGAGCCAGAGCTGTCTTGGCTCTTCAGGAGTTCCCACAACTCATGGCTTACTCTTCCTCTGATCTGGCACCCACAGGATCTGTTTTATTGTTTCTGCCTCTCATTGTCTCCCCTGCTCCTGCCCTGGGTGAGAATGTTTAGTTTTTATTGTTTACAGTCAGGTGAAACCATCTCGGTGCGAGTGGGAGCTGGATATATTTACCATTCTTGTCTTTTCACGAGCAAAGCCATTTGTTGCTCAGCTCTAAATGTTTCTTTGGGTTGAAAGAGCACGTTGTGGGATGTAGATAAAAGTTTGCATTTTGAATAACCGGTGAACTCCTGTTCATTCCCTCCCTGGAAGTGTCCAAGGCCAGGTTGGATGGGGTTTGGAACAACCTGGGGTAGTGGAAGGTGTCCCTGCTCATGGCCAGGGGTGGAACTGGATAAGCTTTAAGGTCCCTTTTAGTCCAAACCAGTCTGATTCTGTGAACTTGGATGACTGGGAATGGCATCCGTGGTTAGAGCTGGTATCAAACCAGAACTGCTGCTGAACTTCTACCCTGGTGTGTGATGACTGGGAGAGAAACTTGTTCTTAGCTGATGGTAAACACAGAGGGAGCAGCTTCCAAAGCCTGATGGGATCAGTCTGTGCCCTGGTGCCCTGCCTGGACATGAGCACCTGCTTTGCTTCTCCTCCTTTGGGGTCTTGTCAGGAGTGAATTTAATCTGCACAGGCTGAACATTTTTTAGAGCTTTTTTCTTGCTGGTCTTTGACATGGTTTTTTTTCAAAAGACAACCTAATCTTGGGGTTATATGAGTGCTGTATTTTTGGTTGAGAGGGGATGGTTTGGGCGTTCTTTTTGTTTGTTTGTTTGTTTGTTTTTTAAATACTGACTTATGTGGCATTCACCATACATTGGTACTGATAAGAAGCCCAAACAGCCCCTGTGTCCTCTCAGGGGTGGAGAGAGTGTAAAGCACCATGTCAGAGTTGTTTTCCAAGTCCCTCTGATAGACGATGGGTGTCCTGAAGCCACAAACACCATACCTTGAACTTCCCTGTGTCCAGCTGAAGCAGCTTGGTCTGATGCAGCAAAGATGGAGACGGAGCAACCCTGCAGAAGTTTCTGACCTTCCTTAAACAAAACTGGTGGTTTGTGTCTAAACCCTCTCCTTGCTCCCTCTTGAGCACCCTCAGCAGTTGTGCTGCTTGGGAGCTTTGGTTCTCTGCCTTGTGGCTTCTCCTGAGCCAGTGTTTAGCAAGTTTTGTTAAAACCCCTCCCATACAGCCTGGGATGGTGATGATTTTTCTGCCTCTCGACCCAGAGCTCTGCGAGTTGCTGCAGTGCTGCTGTCAGGCTTTTTGGGAGGTCTGTGTGCGTGGCTGGTTCAGCTGGATCAGGAATTCTGCAGGCTGGCAAGCAAATGGAATCGTTTGGATTGGAAAAGTCCTGTAAGATCATCGAGCCTGACCATTCCCCCAACACTGCCAAGGCCACCACTAACCCATGTCCCCAAGTGCCACATCCACACGGCTTTTAAGTCCCTCCAGGGAAGGGGGCTCCACCACTGCCCTGGGCAGCTGTGCCATGGCTGGACAGCCCTTTCCATGGTGAAATTTTCAATAATATCCAACCTAAACCTCCCCTGGTGCAACTTGAGGCTGTTTCTTCTTGTCCTGTCTCTTG